TATATATATATAATCTCCTAGGTAGTGACAAAGTTATTGCTCAATAGACAGGCCGATGGGAGGGGGTGTATAGGGGGAGAGAAGAAGATTGCTGAGGCAGCAAGATGATTGTAGTGAGCATATAGAACCCGGCCTGTTCTCGGGGTTTCTGCAAAGCCCACCCCTTGGCCTGAGGCATTATTCTGTCTCGGAAGTATAGAAGTTTGATATCTAAATTAGGCCTCATGCACATGGGCATCTGGGGGTTTTGCTGTGGCAAGAACCTGTGGGTTCTCACGGCAGGAGTATCAGGTGAGTCTATATAGATGCGGCCTCTGTGCCATTCGGGTAAATGACCGGGTGACAGCGGCTGCATATGTCTGCGGCATGTTGCGATTACTTGCAGATCAGGAGAGTTGCTTGTGCCTGGAAGAAAACTCTCTGACTCTTTTTCTGTGTCCCCTGTTATCAGTGAACAGGAATCCTCTGAGTGTTCCTGTTCATTGATAACATAAGAACATTGTTTACTATACCTACAATTATGAATGAATGGGGGTGATGTAGAGGTGATGTAGATCACTCCCGTTCATTCATAATTGAGGCTATAGTTAACATACCATGTCCTCAATTATGTACACACACTCCGCGATCACTGATCCCTCACTGCTTGTACCCGCTCTCCTCTCGCTGTCACAGGAGGCTGATCGAGCGGTGTAGGGAGGAAAGCCCAGCCTCCTGTGACAGCGCTGTCTCCGCCCCCACCCCGCTCTGCCGGACTGTGATGGGCGGCAGAGTGGTGTGGGAGGAGACGCCGGCCGCTCACAGCGCTCTCCACCGCAGCGCTCGGCCGGCTGTCACTTTCTTTTCTCCCCGCTGGAACAGCGCCCAGCGGGGAGAAAATGAACCAGGGATGCGACGATGTATCGGCAGGAAAATTGCACTTTCGGCATTATGCCAAAAGTGCCATGTTCGGCCGATATGTTTCGGCGCCGATATATCGGTGCATCCCTAAAACATACCATGTATGATTGCATGTGGACAGCCACTGCTGTCACCCTGTCATTAACTTGAATGACACAGAAGCCACATCTGCACGGACTCACCTGGTACTCCTACCCCAGGAATCCCCAGACGCCTGTGTACATGAGGCCTAATTGTTTTCTTGTGCAGCAGATTAATATAGAACAGTGTATTGTCTTAGCTGTGTCATGAAGCGTGACTCTGTACTTTCCATTGCAGTATGAATACGCCATGAGACAGCTGTACACTCTGGTGAACCTCTGTGAATCCGGATATCCACTAGAGAGGTAACTATCACTGACTTTCCTACACGTGGCAATTTTCACTCCATTTCAACCTAATTCCATTCGTAGTCTCTACCGCCCAACCACCAAATTTTGGTTAATTGTGAAGTCCAAATTGGACATCACAATTAACCACTTCCAACACAGTTTATGGAACGTTATGGAAGAAATAATGTCTCACTGGGTTTGATCTGGGTTTGATTTGTAGGGCACAATTTTAACCCCATCTCTTTCCGGACGATCGAAGCCATCATTTCATGTCTAGGATTGCTTTGTAATTTCAACAAAAGTTCGATCACTCTGTCAGATTGCCACATATATCTCCGGCTTTAGTCCTCATAGTAACGTTGCTTTCTATCGATATCTTCTCTGTATCGATTCCCCCGAGCTTGACTAGAACTCACTGAGTGAATGTCATGAAATCATCTTCAACTGAAGTGTAATCTCTGGGGGCTAAAGGCAGCTGCTGCGCGTCTGGTCTGCGTGACTCCCAGCGTCGCACAAGACTATGATTAGGAGACCGGCTGTCGTGGACACATGCCCTGGTCCTCTTCATAACGCCTCCGCCCTCCTTGACCATTCATTATTGGGAAATGTTATTCTGCGGAGCCGGCGCATGTCATTGTAGTCACACGTGTACATGCCATTTAACCCTTCCTATGGGCAGGACAAGGAAGGGGCAGTCATGTGACTGGTGTTTTTTATACTTTGCCTCCAGGTAAAAAAGTGCTATGCAGGCATGGAAGAGCATGCAAGCAGAGATGCGCACACCCTAGAATTCTGCTATGCCTGGGCTTTTTAAATGGACCCTGCCACTTTAGTTAATGCTGGTATATGGGGCACTGTGGCTACTAGTAGGACTATATGGTACAGAGATGCCACCACGCAGCTATACAAATTCCATCTATGTTTGAAATGCACGCAGACCTCTGTTTTTAAAATGGCAACAGATCTTTGCTCATTGGTATAGCATGTTATGCTGTGTACCTAAAAACCGCCCCTTTCCTATTGTATGCCGCCCTTGGTTCAGGTTGGTGAGCTTTGCCGTGTTCTATAATAATCAGCATCTCGGAGGGACGGAGACTCATTGACGCTGTTTGTTTTGTGTTTTACAGCATTACCCGTGCTATGGATGAAGTCTGCCAAGGTCGGCACTGACACTGCTGGCAAAATGGAGTCCTCCAGCAGGGGGTAGTAGATGGGGGCGTTGGTGATGATTAACCCTCTCTGCCGTTTGCCCCACCTGCAGCTGCTGCCTCAAACCTAATCTCTACTCCTTGACCGTTTTGTTGCCTTCAACATCACAAATCTTCAATCCAAATTCTAGACTTGCAAAGCCAAGTACATCTAAGATATTGGACCTGCCAGGCTGTACATTAAGCAAGGCCCTGACCTGCACAACCAAAGCGAGGAGTTTGTGCCCTCTGAATGCCCACGAGGGTCAGGTACTGCCCCCCCCCCTAGGAGGTCAAGAACTGCCCTAGAGGCTACCGTACTATATAGATCTGCATGATGTGCAAGTAACCTTGAAGGGTGATGACAATGATTGAGACGCTTGACCAAAGCAAAGGGTCTGACTCGTGCTACAGCCGGCCACTGTTAAAGGAAATGCCTGACACGGGTTTAATCATATTTTTGATTTTAGGGAAATGACCACAAACTGAAAATTAACATTTTTAACTTTTACTCGATTTTACCTATTTTTATTGTTAGGATGTTTTAATTACCATGTTTTGCATTATTCCTTTAAGGCTCATTCACGCCGTGTCTGTTGAGCTGCGTTTTCCTGCACGCCCCCACACGTGTGTGGTGTCAACAATTTGCTTTCTATGTGCCCTGTTCACAGCATACTTGGGCAAAGGGTGTGAAGAAATATGCAGCTTGATGGACATGGTGTGAACAGCCCTTGGTGATCAAAACTGTCATCCGGGTCACCCAACCACTAAAATTTCTTAGAAGCTTTTAAAATGTTAAATATTTTTAAATAATCCCTGATGATCCTGCTCTGAGGGTCCTTATTAAGATTATGGGGTGACCACACACTCTTCCGGTCTCCCCCAATTATTCTTCTCCGTTGTCACATGCACTTCAGTGGAGACTAAGGGGGGGGGATTTATCAAAATTGGACCAGACAAAATCTGGAGCAGATTTGCACTGCAAGCAATCAGCTTCTCTGTCTCATTTTCAGATCTTACCTGAGCAAACTTAAAAAAGATGCTGATTGGTTGCCATGGGCAACTGCTCCGGATTCTCCCTGCTCCAGTTTTGATGAATGCTCCCCTAAGTGTCCATTTCCACACACTACACAGACACGGTCCACTGTTGTCACCACCAGGAAACCTGCCCCGAGAAATGCCGTGCAGCCATCGCTGGAGTGCACGGAGACAGGAAGTGGCTGCAGGAGATCAGCAGCACTGAGATGTAAGAAAGGATGAAATGGGGAAAAGAAGGATGTTATAAAGGATAAAAAAGGCATTTTTTTTTTTAAATATATGATGCCATACCAAAGGGAGTGTCATCCAATTTAGAGTTTTTACATTTGCTTTAACCCCTTCCCCCAATTGGTACAAGCCGGGTTATGTATCTTGAGGTAATGTGAAAGTAAGTTTCAGTCGTTGGGTTTTTCTGGACTGTTAAGTTCGGCGGATATGCAGAGTGTCCTGACTGACTTTAAACACTGAAGATGTAATGCTGCTGTGACCGACAAGTTCCTATACGCTGTATTTGATCCATAAAGCAAATTATTCGCTTCACTTTACTTCAACAACAAAAACAAAATTGATTTTATAAATCTGGATTAGATATTTAGGATATTTTCTGTTTGCTGACAGTTTTAAATAAAGATTTTCTCATTCTAGAGCAATATTGTCTTTGTGGTGATTTATTCTGTGATAAAATGAATCCCTTCAATGTCAAATGACGGACTGTATTCTGAAATGATGTCCCCAGAGAGGCAGCATTCTCAGTGATGTCACTGGTCTCTAGTGAATGGATAGGCTGCACCCTCAGTGATGTCACCGGTCTCTAGTGAATGGATAGGCTGCATTCTCAGTGATGTCACCAGTCTCTAGTGAATATTTGCTGTATTCTGATATCATTGGTATAGTGAGTGGACAAACTACATTTTCATTTTTCAGACCAGAATATCGCCGTCTCCTCCGGGTGGAGAGCGGAGATGCTGACGCAAATACATCTGCAGTGTACTGTGATTCAGCTGTGACTTCCAGTTAATGATGACTTTGGATTCTCACACATCAGCATTTCCTGCTCATGTGACGGTCCGGACCTCTTCTGAGTCATTGTGCTTGGTTCCCTGAGAGCAGCATTTGTATCCCACTTCACCTTTTTTACCAGCAAAAAGCAGAAAACAGATATAACCCTAAAGCATGATTCCTCTGTGAGCACACGAACAGAGCTGAAGCCCAACTTCTCATCCCTACATCTGTCAAATACTGTATGGTCAAATGTTTGTCATCACGCCTACTATATGACCAAACGTATGTGGGCAACTCTTCAAATGATGGTCAGGTGTCTCCAGTGAGAAACTCGACCTCCCATCATTTGGAGATTGCCGACATATTCTTATAATCCTACATCATACAAAGACATTGTAGACATTTGTGCTCTTCAAGCTTTATGACAACAGTTTGATGAAGAGGCCATTTTGTGATCCTCCATGACTGTCCCGTGTACAAAAAAAACAAGCTCCATAAAGACATGGCGTGACCCGTTTTGATGTGGAGGAACTCGTGTCCTGACCTCAACTCTACTGAACACCTTTTGGGAAGAAATGGAATGCCAATTGTGAGTCAGGTCTTCTTATCCAACTTTAGTACGTGACCTCACTTTTGTAAAGCCTTTTACAGGAGAGTGGGAGCCATTGTGGCTACACAAGTGGGGGATCCCACTCCATAATAATAGCCATGGTTTTGGAATGGGAAGTACAACAAGTTCACATGAGTGTGATGGTCTCTGGTCTACAAACTTCTGGCCAAACCACGTATGACTGGGCAGAAGTCCTCTTTGAAATAACTTCAGATATGTTAGGACAACAAATGAAAATCTCCTCCAAGCCCGCTCTATTAGTAACAAAGATTCATTAACCATAAAGGCCAATTATTGACCAAAGGCAGAACAGCTCCTGAGATTCAATACATAAGTGGAGGCTTCATTGCTGAGCTGCATGAAATATTAGAAGTTCTGCATCCCTTTACATATGAGGTCTCTATTTACCGCACTCCTAATCATTTCCTTGGTCCCTTACAGAACCGCAGGCCTGTATTAAAAAGAACTTAATGAACACGAGGCAAACCACTAAACACACGACTGAAATATATACATATAGTAGTCCGGGGTCACTGTTGTCTCTGCCTTACTCATTAACTTATCTGCTGCCCTCTGGTGGCTCTTTGTTCAGTGACAGCCAACTATATCTAAAACTATCCCCAAATGTGTTATTAGTTTTGTGTTGGGGAAATAATTAAATCATCAATAGACAGCCAGAAGCTCACCGGCTGTTAAGGAAAGTTTATCCCATAAATCACCCATTAGCAGCCAGGAGTACTATTCCATCACCCGAAGGCAGCCAGGAGGACGGCTCCATCACCAGTAGGCAGCCAGGAGGACGGCTCCATCACCAGTAGGCAGCCAGGAGGACGGCTCCATCACCAGTAGGCAGCCAAGATGACTATTCCACCACCAATAGGCAGCCAAGCGGACTATTCCACCACCAATAGGCAGCCAAGCGGACTATTCCACCACCAATAGGCAGCCAAGCGGACTATTCCACCACCAATAGGCAGCCAAGCGGACTATTCCACCACCAATAGGCAGCCAGGCGGACTATTCCACCACCAATAGGCAGCCAAGCGGACTATTCCACCACCAATAGGCAGCCAAGCGGACTATTCCACCACCAATAGGCAGCCAACCAGGAGGACGGCTCCATCACCAGTAGGCAGCCAGGAGGACGGCTACATCACCGGTAGGCAGCCAGGAGGACGGCTCCATCACCAGTAGGCAGCCAGGAGGACGGCTCCATCACCAGTAGGCAGCCAGGAGGACGGCTCCATCACCAATAGGCAGCCAAGCGGACTATTCCACCACCAATAGGCAGCCAAGCGGACTATTCCACCACCAATAGGCAGCCAAGCGGACTATTCCACCACCAATAGGCAGCCAAGCGGACTATTCCACCACCAATAGGCAGCCAGGATAACTGCTCCACCACCAATAGGCAGCCGGGATGATTGCTCCAACACCAATAGGCAGCCGGGATGACTGCTCCAACACCAATAGGCAGCCGGGATGACTGCTCCAACACCAAAAGGCTGCCAAACAGACCGTTCCATCACCGATAGTCAGCCAGAAGATCTCAAGCTGTTGAACATAATTCCATAATCTGTTGCCAACATTCTGGCTTACTATGTCATTGGCTAGCTGTGATTCTGTGCAACCATTTTGTGCGATTCCCCACCCCCCAAATCCTTGACCTCTACTGTAGGAGCAGCATAGCTGGTCAGACGCCCCCCTCCCCATTTGCCGATTGGACAATAGCACTTGCCTACGTGGTGAAGCCAGAGTGACGGTGAAAGCCCCACAGCCTGAACCTTTAAAGACCATCTACTAAACTAACCCATTATAAGCGTCAAGATAACGTTGGAAGATCTGAACTGTATAAGGGTAGGTCCCCCCCAAATGTTTATTTTTGGATGGTTGTCAAGACATCGATCCACTTAAAGCCTACTTCCATGTATAGAAGCCTCTGCTTGAACCGGGGTCTATATTATCTGCCAAAGGATATAAAAGTTCTTCCCAGGAAGTCCTGAGATTCACATGGCACAACCAGCTTGGTGACCTGACCGTTCTATGCTTCAGCAACACAGCTTGGTCACCTCCAGTCTGTGACTGGCTGCACAGTGAAGGAGTAGCAATAGACTCACGAGGTCACCCCCCTCCTCCTGTTATGGTCTGAAAGGTTGAGAGTGCTGAGCCTTAGGGATTAGTCCAGATAAGAATTTATTTTTATTTTCCCAATAAAAGGGTCCATCAGCACTTAACAAACAACGTGTTTCAGGGGTATATGAACAATTTCCCCTTCATCAGGGCTGAGACGTGTTGTGCAAGATAGGTGGTCAGTCCTGGATTTTTATTTCGTAGTAGACCCTTCAAAATTTATCAATAAAAAAGTTGACATACAAAAAAGGTCGTCCATATATTTATACCAAAAAAAGTTATATTTATACAAAAAAGAATCTTTCCGTTATATATTTAAACAATACTGTGTATGCAGAATATGGTATACAGCATTCTTTGTACAGATAAATATACAGCTCAATGCCGAAGTACAATTCCAAAGCTACAGTTCCGATATGTTAATGGCAGTGAATAGGGCCCGTGAGGTCACCGAAGTGAGAAACTGCGGGGACATGTGACTGAGCGTGGCAAACCCCGGCGCTTCTGGGAAAGGATGGTCATATCAAAACTGTACAAAGTCCCCCACACGAGTCCACATTGATCTATTTTGGTACAATTTCTGCTTTGACCCCATTGGAGAGATTTTTTTTAACATTTTTTTTTACTTCCTGTGACACCCGTGCACGAAATGGTGTCACCAGCAGGGCCGGATTTACTCTCTCTGCTGCCCCACTGCCAGGTTCCTCAATGCGCCCCCCTGTAGGCAGGCTGCATACAAGTGATCTCTGAGACATCGCCGGGATCACTTGTACAAAACAAACGGCGGCCTCCCCCGCTGTACATTTAGCTCTGCTTGCCCAAAGCAGGGCTAAATGTAGAAAACAACTGCCCGCCCGGCGCCCAGAACTGCGTGTCCCGGGAGTCGAGAGATAGGAATTCCACACCCTTGCTGCCCCTCTACTCCCTGCTGCCCCAGGGCCGGACCTCAGTTGGCCTTGTGGGAAATCCGGCCCTGGTCACCAGAACAGGCAATAAAAAAACATGGCCAGTATTAGAAATACATCTCCTGATCTATTACAAACATGTTTTCCTTTTCCTGTGTCCCCTCTGGAGATCTTTCCCATCACTTCCTGTCCTCACAGGACGTTAGGTCTTCCAAGACCAAATAAAATATTTTGCCTGGAGGTGGGCTTTATGTTTTAGGGGTGGGGGCGGTAGATCCTCAGTCAGGTGCAGAATCCCATTGGTGTTTCCGTGGGGTAGATTTTACCCTCACTTCCTGTGCAGCCACTGCAACAGGAAATGACCCAAAGGGGACAGAGACCACGTTTAGACTGTTTTGTAGCGCCGTGATGGAGTAAGACTCATTGTCAGGTTTTTCTTTACTGGTCCAAAACATGAAATCACAGAAGGAGCACCACAAGTCAGTTTAATCATTCATTATATAATCACATCATCACCCAACAAGTTTTGGGGGCTCAAACCGCCTCCCCTTCATCAGGGCTTGGAGTAACCAAGTGAGATCTAATACAGATTGCTTTGGCATTTGTTCCATTTTAAGCCTGGATGACGATTCCAAGCCCTGATGATAGGGGAGTGCGTTGGCCCCCCGAAGCGCGTTGGCTGTTTTATGTGGTCATATGAGGAATCATTAAAGCAACTTGGACTCCTTAACCATTGAGTCTAGGTGCTCCTCTTGTGTTTGGAGTCACTTTCTGGTTCCACACCGAAGGGGAGCCTTGCGTTATGCCAGCGGCTTCGCCAGAGTAAGTGAGCTCGTTAGATAATTACTAGACTTGTGCGCCGTCAAAAAATTTGTTCCGTTTCGTAATATCCATTATTTCGTATCCGAAACTCAATTCGGATTCGTACGAAATACGAATTTTCGTTAGTTTCGGCACATTTTCGTAACTTTACGAACATTCGTTATGATGAAGTTAAAAAGCAAAAATACCTTTGTTAATATTGGAGTCGATGTGGTAGTTGTTTTTGTATCCGAAATACGAATTCCGTTAACGGATTCCGGATCCGAATTTCGTATTTCGGACTTAAAAAAAAACTACCATCAACTCCAATATAAATGCATTTTGCTTTTTAACTTCAATATAAAATGAATGTTCGTAACGGAACGAAATTCCGTAACGGAATTTCGTATTTCCTGCCTCACCCTCAGCAGCAGCGGATCCGTATTTCGGATTAAAAAAAAAAATCTTGTCATGTTGTTCAACCTCATTGCAGGGGTAATAGGAGTTCCTGTTTCAAAGAAATTCGGATCCGAAATTCGTTAACGGAATTTCGTATTTCGGATATAATTCAGAAACTGCAATTCGGATTTCGGATGCTTCCGAATCTACGAATTTCAGGAAAATTTGTACGAATTTCGATTCGTAACGAAACGAATCGCACATGTCTAATAATTACATGTCTCCATTGGGGCAATTTCCCCTCACTGTGGTCACCAGGACAGGAAGTAGGAGAGACCCAGATGGCAATAAAAGCTTCACTGAGGTTCCAATCCTTCTCCACTCTATTGGAAGGACTATTTCCGGATCTTTCCATTGATTGCATGCTGTGTGGGTGGAGATGGCGGTTCATTATTTAGTTCGTCATTCTTTCCATTGAAAATATTCATCATTGTATCACATATAGAGCTTGTTTCTCCCTCTTATCTGCAGATCACATTGTGACCACACAGCCGCCGAGATAAAATCAGCCAACCGCACACCAAGTCTATTGTTTCCTATGAATCCGGATAGATACTCATGACTGACATTGTATCCAAACCCAGAAATAAAATGTCATATTGCAGCTCGTTGATCCTTAGATGCGGCGGCTGCATTTGTTTTCTTTATTTCCTTTTATTGTCACCTGGTGATCCTGTGAATAAAACACTTCCTGTCCCTGGGTGACTACGCTCACTCTGCCACTGTTTCTATAGAGGGAGTCATGGTTGTCACCCAGGCTGGGCATGCTGCTTTATTAATTGCCATTTCATGAGGTGAGTGAGGGAATAAGTAGTTTAAACAAATACTAATCACGTGGTGTTATTCTTTCAGTTCCGCTCACAGGAAGTGACGAGCACACGGCCCTTCTGGCAGAACCAACAAGGATTTTCTGTACTTGCTGAATATGTTCTGAACCTGTCAGGTTTTTATTGCTTTGTGTCTGGGCACAGGAGGGTCACCCCCCCCC